AGATGAGCTTGTTAACACGAGTTTATCAGAAGTAGGAAGGTGCCTTCTGGGGTTTGATTTGTGGTGTTTGGAGCTCCTTCTGAAAGGGGCGTTTCCTGTGCACAGCCCTGTCTGAAACAACCTGGCTCCTTGTTTTTGGAGATGTTACAGACTTTTGAACTGTATCTTCCTTGGTAATTCCCTCAAAGTTCTCTTCTCCCACTGCATTGAAGTAGTTTCTGCAAGGGTAGACTGGGAGTCAGCTGACTTGATACCTTCTGATTTGTATGGCCAAACAGCAGCAGAGAAGGCAAGGAATTTTATAACTGTTTTTAAAACTCACTGCAGCTCAGGAAATGCAGCATTTTATTTCTGCTGAAGTGATGCAGTTTGGGAACTGTAGCTGCAAAAATGCTCCCTCAGAGACTGCAGATCTGGTCAGGATACCTGAAAACTGGTGGTAGGAGAGATCTGATCTTTGCTCTTGTTTCTCCTGGCAGTTATGGCAGACTGTCCCCACACAATTGGTGTTGAATTTGGCACAAGAATAATTGAAGTTAGCGGCCAAAAAATTAAACTACAGATTTGGGATACGGCAGGACAAGAGAGATTCAGGGCTGTCACACGGAGCTACTACAGAGGAGCAGCGGGAGCTCTCATGGTCTACGACATCACCAGGTGAGGGCAGGAGCTCTGGGTGTGTTGTCACTGCCTTGTGTGTCCTGTCGTGTCTCTCCCCTGTGTCTGGGTGATCAGTACCCTGTTGGGTGACGCTTCCACACCTTGACTTGAAATTGTGGTCTGAGCCCAAACTGCTGCTGTGTCTGTGTGGAGGGGGGAGAAGAGCAGGGATGGTGGGTGTTTGTTTGGTGGGTGCTGACTGTGCTGCTGGCATTAAATATTTTATAAAACACTGAGGCTAACCCTGTGCTCGCTCGGTTCTTTGCAGAAGAAGTACATATAATCACTTAAGCAGCTGGCTGACAGATGCAAGGAACCTCACCAATCCAAATACTGTAAGTTGGACTTTATTTAGCTTGACAGCAGCACTGCTGATGGCTGAGCCAGAGGGGGGAGGCTCAGCCTGAGCACCTGCAGTGGGCTCTGCAGCAGCTCCTGTGTGCTCTGCACTCCTCGTGTCCCCACTTGGCAGGTTTTTCTTCCCTGTCTCTCTGACCATACCTCACAACTCTCGTCCCTCAGCCTTTCCCTGAACGCCCCTAAAATACTTTAGCACCAAACTGATGATGAGAAGGCTCTGCTGTGATGAAAGAAACCTCTAAAGATTCTGTCTGGCTTAGCAGATGATGAAACAAGCACAGGAAGTGGCTCAGGGTCCAGCTCCTGAATAAAGAGCAGCACCACTGTTTTTTAGGACGGCCCAAAGCACTGGAGATGCTGTTCCTGCCTTCCCAGAGCGGGGAATGCTGGAGCAGAGCTCTGCTGGAGGAGCGTGGCTGCTGCACATAATCTGCTTTTTAGCTTTCTCAGTAAAGAGGGTGGCAGGGAAAAGGCTCCCGAGCTTTTTGCCAGACTAACTTTGTCTCTCCCGAACCAGGTGATAATCCTCATAGGAAACAAAGCAGACCTGGAAGCACAGAGGGATGTTACATATGAAGAAGCCAAACAATTTGCTGAAGAAAATGGTGTGTTTTTTCTTTCTCTTGGGCTGATACGTTTCCTAGGGGATAGTGCTGTTAAAGTGAATCCTGAGCGCTGATAGCTGCCAGCTTACTCTTCCAGAGTCATGGAATTGTATGTGCAAACTCCTGTGCCTGAGGCACTCTGGCTTGGTGTTTGCTGTCTCAGTTGTAGAAATCAGTTTGTGTGGATAATGTTTAGTACTAAAATAGTGTCTTGCCTGTAACTGAGGGTCACAGTGTGTCTGACCTGGGGCTGTTCGGGGTGTTGTGCATTGACTGTCAAACCTCTGTTTCTGAACAGGTTTATTGTTCCTCGAAGCAAGTGCAAAAACGTAAGTGGCTTCTGTCTGCAGGTGGTTCAGATCCCTCTGCCTGAGGAATTGTATTGGCTGTGCCCAGGGATGGCCACGGGATGGGGTGGGAGGGGGGTGCAAGTGCATAGGAAAGCAGAGAGTGTTTCTGAGCTCCCTTGGAGGGTGAGGTGTGTTCAGCAGCTTTGACTTGAAGGGAACTCGGGAATTAAGAGCTCTGGCTGCATTTCAGGCAGCCACTGGTTGAATGCACGTGAACCAGCTGGGATGTGAGGCCTTGTCCGAGTGTGGAATGTGTACACACGTGGGGCAGTGTTTCCCAACTGGACATTCCTCCCCTCGGGTGTTTCGGGCTGTGGAGTTTGTTCTGGTCCCTTCAGTGGGGGAGGAATTGCTGTGCCTGGGGCTGGGGTGTCCCCAGGGCTCAGGGACAGCAGGACGTGGGTGCAGTGGCCGTGGGGCCCTGGGCTGTCCCAGGGCTGTGTTGGAGCTGTGCTTGGGCTGCTCCAGGCACGACTGGGGAGCACCCGTGGGGTCCCAGCACGGTGTCCCTGCCCCGCTCAGGGTCAGCCCCATAACTGCGCCGCTCTCTTGCAGCGGGGAGAACGTGGAGGACGCGTTCCTGGAGGCCGCCAAGAAGATCTACCAGAACATCCAAGACGGGAGCCTGGACCTGAACGCAGCCGAGTCGGGCGTACAGCACAAACCATCGGCCCCGCAGGGCGGGCGGCTAACGAGCGAACCCCAGCCCCAGAGGGAAGGCTGTGGCTGCTAGTGACCCTCCTGGGCTGCTCTGCCCCTCCAGGGCTGCTCTGCCCCTCCAGGGCTCCTCTGCCCCCACACCTCTGCTCTCGGGAGCGCCGCTTTTGGCCGCTGCCCCGTCTTCTGTACATCTTACTGGGTTTAATTAAAACTCTGAGACAAGTTTAACACAGTACTAAACTGCTAAACAACTTTAGATGTAATCAGGTTATCAAAAGGCAAGTAGAGTAATAAAACCTCTCCTGCATGGTAAATCTAGAAGTTTTTTTTTTTTTTTTTCCTTGATTGTCCTTGTGATAGTGTCACCGATCCATAATTTAAACTGAGCACTGATGCTGGACTCCTGATTTTACACTTTCGCAGGGCTTTTGTCTCGTATGGTTTAATTTTATGGTTCTTTGGCCTTTCTCCCCCACCTCTAACTGTTGGAGCTGTCCATAGTGAAGGATGAGTTGTTGCTGTGAAATGATTCCGATGGTAGCGAGGGGCTCTGTAACGATGTGCTTTGTTGGAAGAATTCCCTGTGGGATGTGTTGGGGTGGCGCAGGGAAGTGACCTGTTCATTCTTGTGCTCAATAGCTTTATGTCTTTTTTTTTTTTTTTTTTTTGCCACTTTTCTCCTTTCCATTTGTTAACAGAACGTAAATATGTATAAAATTTGAAGGAACTGAGCTAACAGTTAAATACATCCTGTGTATATGATTTTATTGAAGAAACCGATGCCCGGCATTAGAACAGTGTGTAAGAAACCCCCGTTTGTACAGTCTGAGCTCTCTGTGCCCACCTGCCCTGGCAGCACGGCCCAGCCCAGCCCTGGCTGCAGCTGCAGGCAGCATTCCCGCTGTCCCAGGGATGCAGGGGACACAGACATTATTAACACTAGTGGGATCTGTCTCATCTCTGCACGGGGGGTTCTCCCCCCTCTGCTTCTCTTGGTTCTCGGGCTCCACCCGTGGCCGGGGCTCTCGCACACCCCCTGCTCTTGTACCTGTACCCTTGGCAAGGGGCAGAGGCTGCATGGACAGCTGGAACAGCGTGTGCTCTCCAGGGATTTTAACTGCTCTTGTATTTTTTTTCCCAGTCCTGTGTGAGGGGTTTTTTAAGGGTTTTGCATCCAGCCTTGGAGTCCATCCTTCCTGGCCTGTGGGGGTGGTGGTGCTGACCCTGCACGGGGGGGTTTTACTGTGGCTCCAAGTGCAGCTTCACTTGGGAAACATCACATGGCTTAAAAATGGAAGGGTAAGTGCTTAATGTCTCACCTCAGGCTCACTGCAGCGTTTCAAATACAAAGTAGCCTTAAAATCCCTCTCTAGACACTAAAACTCCACAATGTTCAGACTTGTAAGTAACCAGTGGTACCAGAGTATTGTACAGTCCTTGTTAAATAAAAGCCAAAACTGGAATGTGCAGACAGTGGGTTTGGGTAACTTGTGCGCTGTCCCTCTGTTTTGTCTGGTTAGTCCTTTTTTACCTCCTGTTCCTCAGTAGATGGGTATGTCCGAGATCTCCAGCTCCTGCATCTGCTTACCCCGAGGCTGCACCAGGGCCTGCCCAGGGACCACGACCTGCTGCTGGTGTGAAGTCAGTGTTGTAATGACTACAGCTTGTTGAGGTGCAATACCTGTTCTCCCGGAGTCAGTTCAGTAGGTCTGATTGTTTCTGTCACAGAAAGGATCTGTTTGGACTGCTGTACTCCTCATTTGATGTAACAATGCTATTAATCTAAATATTTGTAAATAAAGTACCTGTATCTAGATAACCCTCACCGCTGTGTGTCATTTGCTGAGGGGCCTCGGAGGGGTGAGAGATCCTTCTGGTGTTGGTTTTTGTGCTCAGCCTCCCCCCTGGGCCCGAGGGGGTACAGAGCACCGTTTGCAGGAGGAGTTCCTTGGAATTTTGTTCCTGAAGCCATTGCCCATATCCACCAAGGCTCTGGAGAGCGAGGGGTTGCTGAGAGCTCAGCCCCAGCAGGAGTTCCAAGGCCAGAGCTGCCGAAACCGGACACATCTGTGCAGTGGGAGCTGCCCCAGCACCACAGGGCGAGGTCAGGGGCCTGGAGAGCAGCTTTGGGGAAAAGAACCCACAACCACCCCCACGTCAAAGCAGCCAGCACAAAAGTTTATTTGAAGGAAGTACTCAAAAAAATAATTGCATTTAAAACCTCCACCCCTTCGGCAACAGGTCACGGGCCAAACTCTGGCCTTGTAACAGGGTTTCTGTAAAGTCAAAAACTGGCTGAGAGCTGAGCACTTCAATAGGAGGTTGTTTTGGGCACATTTAAATATTTAAAATAGTTATTTTTTTAAAAAAAAAACCCAACATATACATAAACCTGTTCTTCAGTTGTACAAAACCTTCACAGCACAGTGCAGGCCCTGCAGCAGCTCTGGGGGCAGAGGCCTTTCGGCTCACACAGTGAGGTAGGAGAAGACGTCAGAGGTGGCAGCTGCAGGTCCAAGCTGGGACGTGCTCTGAGCTCTGCTGAGGTGAAGCCACTTTTCAAGTACCAATTTTACCTTCAGCTGGTACAAAAGAACACTTTTATGTCCCGGGGGCTGCTGTGGAACCAGCCCTACCAGAGCTTCAGCCCTGGGGCTGGACGGTTCCTCAGCCAGAAAGCCCAGGGATGGCAAAGCTTATGTTGAACTCGGTCCCTCTGTGCCAGCTGAGCTCCTGCCCAGAGCACACCCCCTAACCCAGGACAGACCACGGCACTGGGAAGGGGCAGTGGTCTGGGAACCCCCAGCTGTGTCCCGTGGCATTCCAGGCTCTCAGGGAGGCTGGAGCCAGGCTGATGTCATGTCTCACCTCTGGCTTCACCGAGAGCTCCCCTGCGAGCAGGAACCTGTCGTGGGAGACCCCGAGACGCTTCCCGGCCTGCTGGGGACCCCGGCAAGGCCTGGCAGAGAGGCCTGGGAAAAAGCAGGAAAGTCTGAGTAATTAATGTCTTCAATTAGCAGAGACATTAAACTTTGTAAAAACAAAATTAGATTTTAGAGAACAAAAGATAAAAAAAGGGAAAAAAAGCCCAAACCGTTCTGAGGAAAGCTCAGCCTTTCCAAACACATCAGCTACTGCCAGAACATGCAGGGTGTGATCGCCCCCCTTCAGAACCCCCCAAAACAAACACACCTCCTGTGCCAGCAGCACCTTACCTGAGTCCTGGTTGAATTCAGAGTGCTGTGGAGCGATGCCAGGCTGGAGCTCTTGGCCAGGAGCAGCGAGTCCGAGGTGGAGCTGCTGAGCAGCTCGTGCAGCTCATCCAGCTGTCTCTGCAGGCTGTGCAGGCTCCCGGCCGTCTGCTGCTTCCCCCGCAGCAGCACCTCGGCCTGCTGGGCCAGCGACTGCCACAGCTGGGCCTGCAGGACAGGGCTGTTACACCGGGCAGGGCCACTGCCCACCCCATGGACAAGGTACAGCCAAATATGATATCCCCCAGTGTGACAACAGTGAGGGAATCGTGTTGGAATACTCCAAAATCCAGTTGACTGCTAATTAGAATCACTCATTGTGCTCCAGCCTGCATCGCCAGGCTTTTACTGTTCTACTCGGACCCCACCCAAAGCTCCTCTCCCTCTCCCTCCAGAGCTGGGGGAGGATCCCACCCCTNGAGGTGTTTGGGGGGAGGTGTTTGGGGGGAGGTGTTTGGGGGGTGGTTTGGCAGTGGCTGTCCTGGTGTGACAGGCACAGATGTGGCACCTTGAGCCGGTCCTCGTGCTGCTGGAGCTGCTCCCGGAGCGCCTCCCCCCTCCACTGCTCATCCTGGGGAAACAGAGACAGCCTGAGCACAGCAGGGACAGGGACAAGGACAGGGACAGGGACCCCACACTGGCAGCACCAGCAGCTGCTCCCCCAAAGTGTTTTACCATTAGGAAGATGCTGGAAATGTTCCATTTGTCTCCCAGGGAGAGGAGCTGTCCCTCAGCTGCAGTGCAGGGCTCCGAGGCCCCAGAGTCACAGCCAGGGCTGCCCTTTGCCTCCGAGGATGTTTCCAGATCCTCCAGCGGGTACAGAGAGGAGGAGTTGGCAGATTTAAACCCCGTCCTAATTTCATCTTCAACCTCCAGGTTAAGCAGTGTTGCTGCACTCTCCATCTCCCTTTGTCTCTCCTCCAGGGTTTTCACCTGCAGCACAGAGCCCTGGGGTTACAAACACACCATCTGTGCAGAGAGAGGGGCTGCTTGGGGAAGGGTGACACCTGGACCCAAAACCTCTGCCCAGCTGCAGCTCCACCATGAACTCTGCCAGGGAAACCCCAGGGATGGGAACAGGAAATCCAGGACACAACTTGGTAACTTAAACCTGCCACACTCGGACCTTGCAGGGCCTTCCTGAATGATTTCCAGTTGCCAACAACATTCTCCTCTGCAGGACCCTGTTTTTAAAGGGCTTGGAATTTATAAAGGATTTATTAAAGGTGGGATCACTTTGAATTCAAAGTGAGTGTCAAAAGCAGAAGCTGGCCCCAGGCTGGCACTGACAGGTTGTAAATGCTCCCTTGAGGAGTCCTGAACGTTGTGGGGACATTCAGTGATTTGCATCAATCACGACAAGCCATGCCAAGGAGGGGGATTTGTAATTGTGACAGAGCAGACAGGAGATCCAAACCCAAAACCAATGGACTTGTGTGGAAGTGCCCACCTGGGTCTGGAGGTGCCTGCAGTGCTGCTGGATCTGCCCCAGGTCCTGCCCGAGGCCCTTGGCCCGCTGGCGGTTCCTGAGGGCCACCTGCTCAGCCACTGCCACATCGCTCTGCAAACAGCTGTTCTCCTGCCTTTGTTCCTGGGGAAACGCAGGAAATATGAACTGAGAGAATCCACATCGTTTCTTCAAGTTAAAGGGCAGGAACAGGATCAAACAGGAGTGACTCAGGTGGAAATACCAGAGCTTGGTGGCCTCGAGTTGTGTCTGGCCTGGGGGTTTTGTTCCTCCGACACAAAAATGGGTGTTCTATCATTCTGCTGTTTAAAATGACCCCCCAGCCAGGACTTACCTGCAGTTTCCTTTCAAGCTCCATCCTTTGCATTTCCAGGGTTTCTTTCAGACTCCAGATCTGTTTTTCTGCTTCTCTCCTCTCCGACAGCATCTGATCCTGGAGCTGCTTTAGCTCAGACCTGGAGACCTGCAGTTCTTCCTGAAGACTCTGCATTTCCCTGTTTTTTTGCTGTAGTTGGGATTCTCTCTCCAAGAGCTGCTGCTCTGTAATGAACATGTTTAAAAGCCAGTCCTGGTTAGCAGAACCTGAACGCTCCTGGTGGACTCCACACACACCAGGCACGTTCCAAACACCAAGAAACCAAGTGAGATGAACAGAAATACTTCTTGGTTTCACTGGGACTCAGCCCCCAGCGATGGCACCAATGAATTTGGGCAATGACTTACTGCTTTTTCTGGCAGTCTCTTCCAGAGCTGCACATCTGGACTCCTCCTTTTCCAGCTTCCAAAGGTTTTCTTCTGCCAGCCTGACTTTTGCTGCTGTCTGCTCCAGTTTCTTGTGCTGCTCTGCAAGTTCCTTTTCCAGGAGGATTTTCTCATCTTTCCCTTTAGCTGTGCACTCTTCCAGCTTTTTCCCTTCATGCTCTGAACTTTGCTTGAGGTGATGAAGAACCTGCCAGAAAAAAAAAAAAAAACCACCCAGAGCTTGAACACCAAGGAGAACAAAACTCACCTCTAAGAAACACTGCAGGAGCTAAAGCAGCATAAATTAAAAAGGACTGGAGGAGCTTTAAGGTCCCTTCCAACCCAAGCCAGGCTGTGTTGTTTGTAAACTCATCCCCCCCCGTTTTTGGCTGCATCACTTTTCAGGTGAGGGAAGTGAGGGCAAATCAGGGGGTTTGTCACCTCTTCCTGTCGGGCCAGTTCTGTTTCCTTCTCTTCAATCTTTTTCTGCAGCTGCTGCAATTGGTTCTCCCTCCTCTTCTGCCTCTCCTGGTGCTCCTTACGCTTCCTCAGGCACTCCTGGATGTCTCCTCTCAGGGCTGCCTGCTCCCTCAGCAGCTCCTCCTGCTGCCTGGTGCTGTTCTCCAGATCCTGCAGCAGAAACCAAACCCAGGAGTCAGGAGGGGCTGGAAAGAGGAAAAGCTCCCTGGCCACAAGGGTGGTGTGAGGGGGAACAGGACCCACCAAACCTGGTCACCCTGCTGGGCCTCAACCCCCTCACCCTGGGACAGCGAATAGGAGGTTCACTAAAACCAACCTGTTCCACTGCTTGGAGCTGCTCCCTGGAGCCCCTCAGCTCCCCTTTCAGTGTTTCTAGTTCTTCCTTTTTGCCTAGAAAAAAAATAAAAAATATTTGGCAACAAGAGTCTGTCAATCGGCAAGTTTGAAATCCCTGCACGCAGAAATCCTCTCTCAAGTGAAGAATGAACAATAAGAAATAGTTTCTAAAATTTCCATCTTTTTTGACATGTTAAAACACTCCCTGCCTGGAGACTATCTGAGCATGGTGGATAGTTAATCCCACACACCTCAGTTAAAGTGTGTCTTTTAACACAATTTCTCTTGAAATGTATTGCAGCTCAAACCCCAAAACCGATCTTTACCTTGCAGATCCTCCTGGACAGCAACAATCTCCCCACTCAGGGATTTCTTCTGCTTGCTCAGCAGCTCCACCTCCTGCTGCAGGTTCTTAAACTTCAACTCCATTTTTTCTGCATTGGACAGGGCAGTTCTGCTGCTCTCTTCAGCAGCAGTTAAGTCTCTGTAAAGTGGGAATAGATATTCCTGGTTTATTGAAAATCCTGAAAAAAGGTCAGTGAAACCCTCTCAGGCATCCCCAAGTTACAGCTGTTATTTTTTTAATCCCAACAAACAGGCATTCAAAGCACTTCCCAGCCCTCCTGAGCTTTGCAGGAAGAAAATATTCCCCCTCACCTTCTGGTGTGTGACAGCCTCTTCTCCAGGCTCCAGGATTCCTCCTCCAGCTTTTCCTTTTCCTTGGCCAAGGCCTCCAGGTCGCTCTGCAGGGTCCTCATTTGGGAGACGAGCTGTTCGTTCTCCTGCCGGTCCTTCTGGAGGAGCTGCTCCTGCCACTCCACCTCCCCTTGCTGGCACTGAAACAACCTCTGCACGTTCTCCAGTTTTAGCTTCTCCTGCAAAGAAAAAAAGAAAACCCCAAACTCAGGTATTTTTTTGGATTTTTGGTTCTATGATCCAGAAGGAGAACGGGCATTAACACCCCACAGCAGCTCCAAAACCTGGCCAGGATGGAGGGTGTTTGTGATGGAGGTTGGGATGGAAATGAGACTCCCCCTTTGCAGGTGAGGACACAAAGAGAATCCAGGGAAAAAGCCTCTGGAAGCTTATGCTAAGGAAACTGCATCCATCAGCCAACAGCCCCCTCTTCCCCCATGCCCCCAAAAAATCCCATTATTTCTAAGGGCCTAAGCAGCCTTGAGGCTTTTCTGTGATAAGCTGCAATCAGATTAGGAACTGATTGATTTAAAAGCATCAGGACTCTGTTCCCCAGAGCTTAAGAGAACCACAGAACCCCTCCCAGCCCCTGCCTCAGCTCCAGGAGCAACACTCACCTCCAGGACTGCCACCTGAGCCTTCTCCAGCTCGTTGAGCTTCTGCTGGTGCTGCAGCTTCAACCCTTCCAGCTCGTTCTTCTCGAGCTCCAGCATTTCCAGGACGTGTTTCAGTTCTGGAGAGGGGAAACAAATCAAGGTTGGTGGACCAGGATGAGAAGATTGTGGTGATGCACAACTAAGAGCTCTGGGCATTTCTTTCCAACCCAAAATGCAGGGCCATACCCATCTTGTGCTTGGTGATCTGCCCAAGGATTCCTTGAAGGTTTTCCTCCTCCTGCCTGATATCCTTGCTCAGGAATGCAAGCTGGGCTCTTTTCTCACTCAGCTGGGCATCCAGTTCTTTCCTCTCAACGTTAAGCTCTTCCAAAATCGCTTTTATTTCCTGTGGAAGTATAGCAGTGTTACAAGGAATGCCATTATTTGCAGTCCTTCAAATAGAAGGCCTAAATATTTATAACATTATTTAAGTCTGCCATCAACATTGTGGTCCATCTAATTCTGTTGCGTTGCTTAACAAACAAAAAAAGTACAGAATGTTTGGGTTAAAGCCTTGCTTGTTGATTATTTATAGTAATTCTGCAAAGGTTTTCCATAACACTGTCATTGCAGTGATTAAGAGCCATTAAAACAAAGCCAGAAAGGAAGCCCCCATGAAAAAAAAAAAAAAAACAAAAACCAAACCACAAAATATAATTAGGCTTATAGTTTGTTTTTATTTCAGAAAGGAAGGGCAGGACCCTTTCAGTGTGAATGGGGCTGGGCACAGGCAGCTCTGTCCTGTCTGACACACACACTGCTCACACTGACTGGGCTCCAGCAGCTGCTCCTCTCAGCAACAGGAAGTCATTGAGAGATTGATATTTATTGTTATTTAATTCTCAGGGGACCAGTTGTGTCAGAACCCCTGGGACTGGGGAGTCCTGAGCTCTGCCTCTGGACCAAGATTTTAGTCACACCATCCCCTAAACTTGCCTGTTTATTGTTCATAACCTCGATTTTCAGTGGGTTTGGGGAGGTGGTGGAAAGCAAAACTGACGTCGTGGGAACTTCCTGGAATGTTTTTGATGCTCCAATTCTTTCTCTGTAAGGAACTGGGAAGGGATTTGGACACAACTCACTCTTATCTGGCGCAGTTTCTCGTGTGCTTCTGTCTCTCCATCCCTGAGGGCTTCCTTGAGGTCCCCTTTCCTCAGGGCAATGCAGTCCTGCAGGACATGCAGCTCTTGTGTTCTCTGCTTCACCTGCTGCTCCAGGAACAGCAGCTCCTGCTGCTGAGCACCAATCTGCAGAGCACAGGGGCAACAGCAGAATCAGCTGAAGGATTGGGGGTTTGTAGCTTAACACAAGAACAAGCGACTTAAGACTCTTCTCATCCTTCAGGTCCATCAGAACCAATAAAATTGGCAGCCCGGGGTCAGGAAGCCAAGTTTTACCTGATCTTTCAGCGTTTCCAGCTCAGTTTTCTTGCCCTGGACAAGGCGCTCTGCTTCTCTGATGATCTGCAGGTGATGGTCCTCGTTGCCTTCTGCCAGTCTGATATCTCCCTGAAGCTTCTGGAGACTGGGAGGGAGGATAAAAACAGGAGTCAGAAGAAGTGAGAATATGTGAGGCAGTAACTTATTGGAGGAGGAGTTCTTGATGTAATATAATGCAGTTTATGGTGAATTCCAACCCTCACCTTTCAGAGAGCATTTCTATCTTCTGGTTCAACGACTGGAACTCAGAATCTCTGGCAGCCACCATTTTGTTGATTTCCTTCAAAATACCTTCTTGTTCCCTCTTCTGCTGTTCCAAATCCCTTGTATCTGTCTGTAATAGCCTTAAAAAAAAAAAAAAAAAAGAATTTGGCCCTTTTTATATTAACTGGAAAGCATCTAATCCTTCTCCTCGTGCCCATGTGACACAGAGGTAGCAGGACACTGTACCTGAGCTGCTGAGCAGCTTTCCCCAGCTCAGTGGCCATTCCCTGAGCCTTCTGTTCCAGCTCCTTGGCCTCTGCCTCGGTGCAGGACAGGTGCTGCTTGGCACGGTTGTACTTCTGAAGGGTCTCTCTAGTCTAGAGGAAAAGTGAAAAATTGAGACAGTCCATCCCATTTGGGGATTTCTACATACAGGTTATCCCACGACTTGTTTTCATATAGAAGCATTTTAAGAGGTTTCAGGTTATCCAAGTGAAAGTGAAGTGCTTAGACAACCAAAAATCCTCTGCTTAAAGCAACCAGTGCAAAAACCCAAACCCCCCTGCCCTCATTTCTGGCTCTCTCACCTTGCCCCTGGTGCTCTCCAGCTCCACCTGAGCCTCTGAGAGGAGCCTGTCTGCCTCCCTGAGCTCAGCTCTGCGCTTCAGCAGGGTCTTCTCCACACACCCAACCTCCTCTGCCACCTCCTCCTGGTGCCTCAGAGACCTTTCCAGCTGCAGCTCTGCCATCAGGGTGTCGGTGTAACCGTCAATGAAGTCCCTGAGAGGAAAAACCATGGAGCTGAAATACAAAAACACCAAAGGCCTGGAGCCTCTTGGAGCTGTGGAGCTGTAAATGAATCCAGACTGCCTTTTAGTGGGAAAGAATTCAGGCATTCCCACATGCTGAACTTCCAGAGTGCTCCACCCTGTTCTCTCACCTGCGCCTGCTCTGCCTCTGCACCGCTCGCCGCAGCTCGGCCACCTCCCCCTGCAGCTCTGCCCTGTCCTGCTCCAGCTCCTCAACATTTTGGAGCAGTTTCTCCACCTCCTTCTTGTGTTTGTGCTCAGAGCAGCTCTCTCTGTATTTCTGAGACCTCAGGTAGCACACGGTGTCTTCCAGCCTCGACACTTGGCTCTCCTGCACAAACACACATGGGGAACACACGTGGAAAATGAACCCCCCTGTCCTGGTTCATCCTCCTGAGGCTCAGGAGCAGATCCAGAACCTTCCCAGCACGGGGATTGTTTTATCTGATCCATCTGTCAGGCAGTTCTCCCCCCCTGGCTCTCACCAGCTCGTGGTGGTCGGGCACGTTGCAGTGCAGCACTCCCAGGGCAAGCAGAGGGCCATAAACAACGGGGGCTCCCACGGGAGGAGGGTTGTAGAGGATGGATCCACGAGCAACTGCAGCTCCACTGGGGGCTGCAGGAGGGGGGCTATAAACCCCTGTTCCCTGGGGTGCAGGGGCACCATCTGGGAGGGTGTAAATCACTGTGCCAGGAGGTGGCACAAAGGGAGGGTCTTCTGGAAGAGGAGCTCCTGCGTTTCCTTCACCATCTTCTTTGGCTCTCCTATCTTTACCTAAAAAAAAAAAAAAAAAGATATCACAAAACCCAAACCACAGGTCACTTTAAATCATTTTTTCAGTAGTCTTCACGTATTTTAAATTTTCTAAGGTAAAAAAATGTAATTAATTTTTGCTGAAACTGGTTAAAAAACTCAACAGTAACAAGCATTTATATTCCCTCATGCACATCCAAACATTCACTGTGAGCCCTAAGCAAGCTCATCTTCAACACCCTGTGGCACTGACTCACCTGTGCCACCATCTGCTCTGGACAACCCATTTCTGGCTGGGGAATAAACCCAACAC